TGTTTGTATTTTGCTACTAAGATAAGAGAGACATTTAATCAATAAATTAACTTTTAGGTAAATCCTATAAGAAGACTTAGCAAGCAAATTAGGCTTGGGAATATGGCATGCTAAGAAATAAAGCAAATCTCTAAATTAAATAAAGACTCGATGTTGTCATACTTGGACTTCACTTGTATGGTATTTGTCTGTTTAGGCCCAAAGTCCACCTCAAATGACATTGACTATAGTGGGCTGAAAATTACACGAATTGATACAAAAGAAATCGACAAAATGTAGTGAATAAAAATAAAAAGAAGAAGAAGAAGAAGAAGAATGGTCCAAGAAATGGTTGACTGTTCATATTTAAATATCAATTAAGTAACCTGAGGAGAGAAAAATGATGAGAACAAGGAGTGAGAGATAAGGAAGGAGACCGACTGTATCCATCTAGATAAAAATTGTAAGTGATAAGATTCCTACAAAAAAAATTATATATATATCAGCACATATTATTTATATAAAAATCAGCACATATCATTTTTGTATATATAAAAATCATTTTATTGCGTGTTTTCCTTTAAAGTGAAATATTCACATTAAGCTAAAAAATTCTATACAAATATTATGTATACATTTTTAATTTATATGAATTATTCCTTATAATTCAAGACTATTCTAAACTTAAATGTAATTCTTTATTTTTGTTTTGTTCTGTGTGTTCGTACTTTTTTAAGACTATTCTAGTTGAGAAGTTATTGGTTGGTCATGGACATCATTAGGTAGTGTCCTGTCAGATGATGTCCTAATGATGTTATGATTGATGAAAGAAATAGAATTCACGATTTTATATTGAGTGATTGAGAAATATGAAGAAATATGACAATTTGTAATTAGTGAAAAATACCATCACATATCGCCGTTGGATCAATCAATAATTTTTCATTCTAGTTGGTAACTAATATCATTATCAGTGATAATATTCTAGTAACTAAGCATTAAGTAATCAGACCCATAATAATAGCCATTTGAGTCCAATTATATTTTTATCTAAATTTTTAATGGACATGAAAGTAGTTAGAAAAGTTTCTAATCCAAATCAATTTGTACATAGGATATCAAATCCAATTTGATTGGCAACAGGTCATTTCTCAACACTTCAATTTCTAGTCAATTTACCTAGGTGTTTTTGTTAGTTTATTGTCCGATTAATAGAAGGTTTTAAATGAGACTGGTAAGATTGAATTAATAAGAAGTTTTAAGGATAAATAACAGTGACTCATTTACATTTTATTCCTTTGAACTTTAAAACTCAAAAGTTAATCCCTCAAAATATTATCTTATTATACTTAATCATTTTTGTTAGGATTTTGTTAGAAATATATAGAGAATCAGATAATGTGTAAAGCACGTGACATATTTATTGAATATTTGGACAATAATGTCGTTATCTAGTGATTTTGTTTGTATTTTGCTACTAAGATAAGAGAGACAAAATATAAATAAATAAAACTCAAAGTTAATTCCTCAAAATATTATCTTATTATAATTTAATCATTTTTGTTATGATTTTGTTAGAAATATATAGAGAATCAGATAATGTGTAAAGCACGTGACATATTTATTGAATATTTGGACAATAATGTCGTTATCTAGTGATTTTGTTTGTATTTTGCTACTAAGATAAGAGAGACAAAATATAAATAAATAAAACTCAAAGTTAATTCCTCAAAATATTATCTTATTATAATTTAATCATTTTTGTTATGATTTTGTTAGAAATATATAGAGAATCAGATAATGTGTAAAGCACGTGACATATTTATTGAATATTTGGACAATAATGTCGTTATCTAGTGATTTTGTTTGTATTTTGCTACTAAGATAAGAGAGACAAAATATAAATAAATAAAACTCAAACTTAATTCCTCAAAATATTATCTTATTATAATTTAATCATTTTTGTTATGATTTTGTTAGAAATATATAGAGAATCAGATAATGTGTAAAGCACGTGACATATTTATTGAATATTTGGACAATAATGTCGTTATCTAGTGATTTTGTTTGTATTTTGCTACTAAGATAAGAGAGACAAAATATAAATAAATAAAACTCAAACTTAATTCCTCAAAATATTATCTTATTATAATTTAATCATTTTTGTTATGATTTTGTTAGAAATATATAGAGAATCAGATAATGTGTAAAGCACATGACATATTTATTGAATTTTTTGGACAATAATGTCCTTATCTAGTGATCTCGTTTGTATTTTGCCACTAAGATAAGAGAAGTAAAATATAAATAAAATCATCAAATAAGAGTGTTATTATTTTAAAACAATCAATAACATATATTATTATCCTAATAAATGTATCATGTGTATTACACATGATCTGATTTTTTGTAAATTTCTTACAAATTCCTAATAAAAGAGTTAATTGTAATAGATTAACTGTTAAGTTTTAAAATTTTAAAAATAAAATATAAATAAATTATAATGTAAAAGAAGTTATTTAATTTACTCAAATTTTAAATAGGAATCACTTGGTCAGTTTGGTAGGACCGATCTATCCCATTTCATTTTAGACTTCTTATTAGTCGGTTGGTGTCATCATTGCATCCAATTATCTGTTAATTTTTTATTTTATTTTATTTTTCCATTTGTTTGGGGGTAGTAGGTAGGGCGGTGGTGTCTGAGTTAGACGGTGTGCAAGTCCAACATGTCAATTTTGGAATGGACCAGGCCCACTGTCATCAACGTGGTTCCCTCTTTGGGGCACTTGCCGGTGGAAGTTTAAAATTCATTTAATTTTAAAAGAAAACTTTTATATTGAGTAATTCTATACATTTTTAATTGTTATTAAATTTTTTTTTTTTATATATAAATGTAAAATTGTTATTACATTTTATCATTGTTGGACTTCTATTAGACGGTCATTCGAGACTCGCTAGAATGTTCAACATCACTGGAAAGTTCGTCGGAGTATCGCTAAAAGTTCGCCAGAATATTGCCGGAGTATTCTAAACGTCACCGGAAGTCGTTGGAATGTCCAGAATGTTCGCTGAACGTCAAGAAAATGGTCGGATATTCATCGAAATATTGCCAAAAAAAAAAAGAATAAATGGAGAAATTATAGTGAAAAAACATAATAAAATATGCTAAATATTGATAACTTGAATGGAAAAAAAAAACCAACAACTATAAGAAAAATATATATTATTTTTAATTTTTGTAGTGTTTATGCAAATAATCTCCAATATTGATCAACATGAAAAGTAAATTTTGAAACTGTAAAATGTTACAATTTCAAAGTATGATTCTATTAAGTATTTATCCTTATTAATCAAACTGAAAAGTATGTTATGAAACTGCAAAATTTTACAGTTTTAAAGAATTTTATAAAACTACAAATTTTTGCAGTTTTAAAGTATGATTCATTTCAGTATCAAAAAAATTAAAATTGTAAAATTTTACAGTTTTCACCATGCTATAACTAAAACTTAAAAACAATTTGTTCAAAATTTGAAATTTTTTTTTCATTAAAACAGAAAAATAAAAGTGTATAGCAGAGAAAATGTAGAAAAATTGATCTATCGAAAGAGAAAAACAGATAAATGGAAAAGATTGTATTTTGGTAATTATTTTTGGTTTAGATCTAATATGTTCTCATGTAGATCTACTCAAATCTACTCATTTTCTTCGCCGAAAACTTGTTTCCTTCACTGTCGGTGAGGGTAAAGTACGGAATTGATAGTTGGTGGTTGCCGGTAAATCCCAACCAATGGTGGTCGTCAGTCGCTGATGACTATATGTTAGAAAAAAAAAAAAGAGAAAAAGAAAGAGAAGAAGTAAGGCGTGATTACCAATTGCCGGAAATGAAGAGAAAGAGACAGAGAAAAATGAATGCACAAAGAAAAATGAAGAAGAAAAATACACAATAAACTTTTGAGAATATCTAAAAAATTGTAAAACTAAATAGATTTCTCCTCTTTTAAATTGGACTTCCACCTAATTTGCCATTCTCTTTTATACATTATCAAAAGATAGACTGGGCCTGATTTGTGAAAGACTTAAAAAAAAAAAAAACTACTTTCGTAAAACTGCTTACCATTACAAATAACAAGCCTGAAGCCCAGTAGAAATAGTGCCATTAACGAGTGTGCAGGCCCACTATCAAATGTGGTTTCAATTAATTAGTTGTGAGATTGGGCTGGTTCAAATTTGTGGAAAAAAATTAACTTAGCAATTCGGATAAAATGTTTTGTTAAAGTTTCTACCTATATTTTGTATCAACTGTAGATTATGTAGAATAGCTCTAATGATCACAAGAGTAAGAATTTATGCTAATATAGTACTTTTAATTTTGTTTTTAAGAATTCATACTATGCAAAATCGCTCGATATTCTTCATCTTTTCAGAATAACTAATTAAAAATAAATCTCAAATCAATTAAGTTTGAAAGACAGCAATGACCAGTGTCAAAACCAATATTTATCCATTTGACTAACCATGTGAGTTTCCATCACTAACTTTCATATGTATTTGAGGCTAAGTATTTGTTGATAGTACCATACTACGCCATGTAGTTCCCTACTTCTGAAGGTGGAGTAATGTTGCATCTTCTTACTTCTCTTTTCTCCAATTCACTATATATTCAGTGTCTTCCCAGCTCAAGAAAGACTCAAACAAATTGTTAGTAAAAAATAAAAAAGACTCAATGAAGATTTTTCAAACAGACAAGCTCAACCAATCTTCTTGAATTAGTTTAACCCTAATTACAAATTTAACTACAAATTTATGGCTCCACTTTAATCTCTCTTATTCTAGTAGTAAAATAAACAACAGAATGGCTAATGCCGCCTATATATGATTACCTTGTAAATTACAAGCTGTCTATGAAGTTAGGTTTCTCTGTCGTCAATATCTGCTTTGCATAAAATTATAGGAATGATCCATTCTGCTCTATATATAGATATATCTTGTAGGCATAAAGACTTCTGTTTTTCTTCAATGGTGTTTAGCATATAGTGCAAAATTTTTTATTTTTATACTTTTGAATCTAGAGGTTGCTTAATTTTTACAACTAGAAAGAAACCTTTAAGCTTCCCTTCATTAGATAACCATAGTTGTCAACAACAAAGAAATAGAAACAAGAGGAAGAGAGAAAGAGAAGGTAACAGAAGAAAACAAGAAATGATACAGATTATAATTCTTATTCATTGCTCTCACTCCAGTTCCTGATGGCTTGCAACACCGCTTGTTTTACCACTTGAGCATCTATATTATCATCCTGTCCTTGATTCTGCCGCAAAAAATAAAAAATAACATTTTTACACTTTAAGAAGTAAAGAATACACATGCATATAATGATATAAGCATATATAGGTTGGTGCGTACAATAGTATGAAAATACATGTAGCATGCAGAGGCCAAGCAGTAACACATTCAATAACAAAAATGGATGAAAGAATGTACTATAATGTATACTACATACATACACACTCATCGGTTTATGAATACACAATAAAAAATTCCAAAATGTATGGTTCAAGCAATCGGCTGATTTCTACAATCACACGTTTTATATTTATAAACTACAATAGCTACATGATGCATATCTGACAAATCTGAGTTGTGTACTGAAGCCAAGATTTTAAATACTGGTATTGAGGACATGGAAAAAGTAGGAATAGTGGGTACTATTTATGTTGTCTTGGGATTGTAGCCCGGGATCATCAACAAACCTTAGTTATTCATTGGATGCTTGAAACAGCTTTCAAACGACATATAAGTTATAAGCTATCTCAACCTCCTTTTTATTGATGTAAATTTTTTTTTATTCCATCAATAAAATCTTATTTTTGCCGATCAAAAAAAAAAAAAAAGTTATAAGATAGCTTAAAGAAATATTCATTTGCTGAGAAAATGTATGAATCACTATTAGTCAAGGTGAAGCAATATTGGAGTATCAAACGATATGCATATGTTGAATTTTTAAAAATATCAAGTGCAAAAATGAGCTTTAGAACAGTTGAATGTAATCAACTATGAATTGATATGTCTCAGGGATTTACCTATATGAATGTGATTTACGTTCTCCTTAGTATACCGAGTGGTATATATCATAAAGGTAAATACTCAATGTGTATCGACCAGGATATGTATCTGCCGATATTCAAAACCATGATCCAAGCTATGATGAATCAAAATAAATCATAAAAAGACAACTAACGCAAGAAAAAGAAGATAATTCCTTACTTCTCCTCCAACAGCTTCTAAACGGAAATTGTCTGAACAGGAAACATTAGCATCAAGCACGTCGAGGCCCAGCTCTTCAAAGGCTTGCAGTATGGTCACAAGCAACCCGGGACAATTTTTTTCCGAAAACACATTAATTAGGAAACCCTTTTCTAGGGTTTCTACAGTAACTTGCTGAAATATAATAAATGGAAAAAAAAAAAAGTTACTATTTTTCATGATTTTATATATAATATTAAAGAATGGATAGCACAGTTGTTTTTAAAAATATGTACCATTGGCAATGAGTTTTGTCCATTTGAACTTTGTGGACTTGCAACATCTTGGCTTAGCCTCTCTACTTTTCCCTTCAGCTCCTCTATATATTTGGATGCATCTACTATGATTGAGGTCTTATTTACCTATCAAACACGAATTTATATGTCAAAAAGGGTTTTTTGACAACAAAAAAAAATTTGTTTGAATTTCGACTCATCATTTTAATTCTAATCATAATAACAACCAATGCCTAATACTAAAAACTCCGGCATCAAATTTAAATGGAAGAGAAATTAGGATTTCGAGTCATCTAAATGAAAAAAAAAAGTTACTAATTTTCATGATTTTATACATGATATTAAAGAAAGGATAGCACAGTTGTTTTTAAAAATATGTACCATTGGCAATGAGTTTTGTCCATTTGAACTTTGTGAACTTGCAACATCTTGGCTTAGCCTCTCTACTTTTCCCTTCAGCTCCTCTATATACTTGGATGCATCTACTATGATTGAGGTCTTATTTACCTATCAAACACAAATTTATATGTCAAAAAGGGTTTTTTGAAAGAAAAAAAAAAAAAGAAAAAAAATTTGTTTGAATTTCGACTCATCATTTTAATTCTAATCATAATAACAACCAATGCCTAATACTAAAAACTCCAGCATCAAATTTAAATGGAACAAAAATTAGGATTTCGAGTCATCATTTAATTCTCCTTAATAATCAAATATCAAAAGACGCCTCTTTCTACAAACTCCCGCAACAAATTCATATATGATGGAACAGAAAATAAGAAAACATGTTAGAATCTCGAGTCATTGGCTTGTTTTTGCCAGCTCTGCTCCATCAATTGAGCTTGATTTTAAATCTTTTCAAGAGAAGAATCAGAAAAATAAGACGATCAATATGGCATGAATCAATCAATTTTTTTTTTTGCATTTTGAGAAAAATAAATCAAGGGTTAAAAAGGTTAAGTAAGGGAACTAACGGCACTGGAGTTGGTGACAGAACGAAGTCGTTGTATCTTTCTATAGAGGGCAGCTTTCTTTCGATCCCGAGAACTCATTCTTCTTTCTTTCTCTTTATCTTCTTCAGCTTCAAATCTCTGTTTCTGTCATTGCAGAAAGCTTTTGGGGGTTTTTAAAGGTGAAGATGAGCTTTCAAAACTCATATCATCTCTTTGTTTGTTTCTTCTTGCATGAGTACCGCAAGGCCACACGAGATTATGACGTGAAATGTGTATTATAATGATGTGTGGTACAATTACTGATTTGCCCTGGGCTTCAAGGCTGATTATAATGATGCCCTTAAGTACTTTTTGTCACACTAGTCACAAGACATTTCTAAGGTCAAAGGAATACAATTACGTTAGGGTTCATCTATAAAGAAATGAATTATCAGTTACCATAATCATACCATTTCAACATATTTGTCTTTAAATAAATAAATGATCTATTATCGAGTAAAAAAATAAACAATCTATTTCAAAATATAATTATTATCCATTTTTGCAAAAAAAAAAATGTTGTAAAATCATGTCGGGGCGAATTTCAAATCAAAACTGATTATTTTTAATGGATATACTATATACATAGCCCTATAAAATAAATCATCAGATCATTAGAATAGGGTCAGTAATGAGTCATGGACCAAACTAAATTATTTGACTCGCGCTATGTTTGGCATCTTCTTCTTGGGTTAAAATAGCCACGAAAAAGACAAAATAAGTTTTTTTAATTCAATAAGACAAAATATCACATCCAAATCATATAATCATTTCATTTTTTCTATTACAAAAGTCAAAAAAGCAAAAAAGTCTATCCTAAACAAGACTTTTTAACTCCAAATTAAAATAACTAAAAAGCTAATCGACATCCCAAATGAAGGCTTAGTGGATTGGAGACAAACATTTTCCTATAACTTATTTGTAAAATGACTTCCTTTAAGATGATCAAAACAACATTTTTGCAGTATGATTCAAAATAAAAAGATCACAAAAGATTTCATATTCTCTAAGAGAATTTGTGTAAAAATTTTATTTGTTGTAAACTCTTTTTTGTTAACAATTCGTTGAAATGCCATGTCAAAGTCATATGTCAATTTTCAATTATTCTATGTAACGAATCCTTAATAGAAGATTCACACACACAAACACACATAAATATATATATATACATTTTAAGGTGATAAAGTATAATATTTTTTTTAATTGAAAATTATAAAGTGATACTGAGTGATAGTTTAAAGAGAGAAAAAAAATTGATAACTTGATATGCGACTCAATAGACCAATTAATCCATGAGACTAATTTGACCGTCAACTAACATCCGTTTTGAACCTTAGATCATGAAAGAAAAATACCTTTGGACCCCAAATCTTGACCACCTAGCTAATTATTACAGTCCAATTATACCAATTTTCTATCAAAAAAAACATAGACATAAGATAGACAAGTAACATTGGCCAAGGATAACAAAAATGTCAGCTAAATAGTTTGTTGAGGACCACAGCTTAGATCAACTAAGGCTGCAGCCTAAGATGCAGCTCAAGCCCAGCTCAGCTGATCTACAAACCATACCAGTTCATAGCACAAAGTTAGTTAGGCAGCTACAAGTTTGTAAGATAGTTTGTTATTAGTTTGTTATCGCTTTGTGTATAAATATTATAGATGTAATACTTGACAGATATGGAAAATGAAATGATTTGATTGCATATTTCTACATGGTATCAAAGCTATAAAGCTCTAACGAGCAACTGATCCATGGAATCACCATTATTTTCTCTCTTTCTTTCAAATTTAACTTGATTTCTAATCTTTTGTGACAAGCAAGCTTGATGGATCAAATTTCGTTGTTTGAAAGACTCAGCTCTCGAATATTCTTCGAGCAACAAACCTTCTCGGTTATGTTGATGGAACAATTCTACGTCCTTCATTTACAATTATAGATACAACAGGCACTGCAGTTTTTAATCCAGATTTTCTTCAATGGACCATAGTCAATGCACACTTCCTAAGTTGTATCACTGCTACACTTACACCTTCAATCTATTCTTCTGTACTTCAATTCCATCATTGTTCTGAAGTTTGAATCTCTCTTCAAAAGCGCTTTACAACTCTATCTTGATCACATATTCATCAATTGAAGAACAAATTGAATAATGTTGCCAAGAAGTCTAATATAATAGAAGAATATTTCTCAAAGATTAAGGACTTAGTTAGTTAGTTAGCCCTAGCCTCTGTTATCATTGATAATAAAGACCTAATATTAATCACTTTGAATGGCCTTCCTTCTGAGTATGATGCATTTACTACTGCAATTCGTCTAGACCAGAAACCATCACCATGGATGATCTCTCCTCTTTGCTGTGTTCTGAAGCTATTCATTTAGAATAAGCATAAGAAATCTATAGAACCAACTGTAGCTTTTTCTACAGTTAAAAGATTTGCAAATTCAATTCATACCTCCTCACGAACTCAAAATTTTGGTCTAACGCGAGGTCAATTTTATTCTAAAAGAGGCAGAGGATGACGCAATCATAAATCTTATAAAGGTTATGGTCAATTGGTTCATCTCGAGACAGAGGAAGATTTTCGAATCAAATCTGTCAAATTTGTGGAGGCTTGAATCATTCAGCACTGGAGTGTTGACATCACATGGATCCACAATTTCAGCCTCAAAATCAACAATCATAATATCACAATCAACAGCAATAACCAAGAGCTTTTGTTACTTTTTCATCAGCTTCCATGTCTCTTTCTTCCATAGGTTCTTCTTTAGCTCCAGGTCCTTGGCACTTGGATTCTGTAACAATAGATCACATAACTAATGATCTCAGTTATCTTAGTTGTTATCTACCCTATCAAGGCTTCAATTATATTACTATAAGAGATAACAACTCTATTTCTATTCAAAATACTGGTAAAGGTCTTCTCCCTACTCCTCATCATACTTTCAAGCTTAACAATGTGTTATATACAAATTTCATATCTTCTAATCTTCTCTCTGTTCAAATATTGGCTCAAGATAAAAATTGCATTATCAGTTTTGATGACACTCAATTTGTGATTTAGGACAAGCTTAAGAAGAAACTTCTTCACAAAGGCTCTAATCTTCATGGCTTATATCATTTCTCTTATCCACATCATCATATGTTGATCATACTACATTTGTTATTTCTACTCCATCTGCAGCTCACACCAGTTTTGCTACTCAAGTGCACCCTAGTCATTCTTTTTCTACTTCTAGTATTGTATGGCGTAATAGGCTAGGCCATCCTAGTGCTTTGGAATTTTAGCATCTTAGGCCATATTTACATCTCAAGTCACCTATTATTATAAATCAGCAAACTTATGTTGACTGATGTATTGCAAAAAGTCATAGATTGTCTTTTCAATTGTCAAATTCAACTGTCAATAAGCCTCTTGCCTTAATCCACAGTGATGTTTAGGGTCCCTTTAACTCGATTTCTGGTTGCAAATATTATGTACTTTTTGTGAATTATATCCATTGGCTTACAAAAGTGAAGGATATGATAAATTTTTTGAATTCAAAACTTATGTAAAGAAACAATTTTCTACATCACTTAAAATTCTTAGAGCAGATGGTGGAACAAAATTCTTTAATAATAAAATGCAGGCCTTCACTTCATCTCAAGAAATTGTCCATCAACATTTGTGTCTCTATAGACCATTCCAAAATGGCGTGGCTAAACGAAAACATAGACATCTCACTAAAGTTACCATTGCTTTACTACATCATTCTTCTGTTCCTCTTCACTACTGGTTTGATGCCATTGCTTATGCTACTTACTTGGTAAATAGGTTGCCTTCTTCTAAATTGGCTCACAAAACTCCTTTTGAAATCTTATTTTATCAAATCCCAGATATTTCTATTCTCAAGGTGTTTGGTTGCCAATGTTTTCCTTGGATTAAGCCTTACATATCTACCAAATTGTAACCTAAGTCTGTTAATTGTGTTTCCTTAGGATATCATTCTTTTGCCAAGAGATATAGATGTCTTGATCCCAAAATTGGTACAGTCTATCTCTTTAGACATGTGCTTTTCAATGAACAAGTGTTTCCTTTTTCTTTCAATCCCTTTCATTCATCTTCTTCCTCTTCTTAGTTGCTTTTTTTCAGTCTTTCTTCTGGTTTTCTTCATCTCTTCCTAAACGTTAGTACCTTCCTCTTCTTCTTCATCTTCTTTTTCACTAGAGTCTGCTCATTTTCCTCTTAGAAATTTTGCTTCTTTACCTCTTGTTTCTCCTCGATCTCAGCCTTCTATTCCTCTTGTTTCTTCTCACCCTCAGCCTTCTATTCCTATTCAATCTATTTCCATTTAATTACCTCTTCATGTTTCTTCTGTCTCTGTCCTTTCTGTTCCTTCTACCTCTAATTGTCATCCTATGGTTACTAGGTCTAAAGTTGCCCTGTCTACTATTAAGATTATTTCCTCTATCTCATATCATGATGTTAAACCTCTTACTCACAAGGAGGCTTTGCTTACACTCATCCGAAAACAAGCTATGTTGGAGGAATTTCAAGTTTTACAAAAACAAAAGACTTGGTCTCTTGTTTCTCTTCTTCTTGGGAAGGATGCCATAGGTTGTAAATGGGTGATCAAGGTTAAGAGAAATTCTGATGGGACTATTGCTAGACATAAAGCCAGGTTAGTAGCCAAAGGCTATCTCCAACAGGAAGGAATTGATTTTCAGGAAACATTTAGTCCAGTTGCTAAGTTGCCTACAATTCAAATTCTTTTATGTCTTGCTTTACATCACAAATGGCCTATCAAGCAATTGGATATATCTAATGTTTTTCTTCATGGAGTACTAGAAGAAGAAGTTTACATGTTGCAACCACCAGAGTTTGAACATTCTTCTTAACCAGATCATGTTTGTAAACTTCACAAGGCTTTGTATGGCCTTAAACAAGCACCAAGAGCTTGGTATTCCACCTTCTCATCCTTTTTGCTTTCCTAGGGCTTCAAGAATAAAAAATGTGATTCTTCTCTTTTCATTCAAAGGACTAGTTTTATTTTTATTGTTTTACTGATTTATGTTGATGACATCTTGGTTATTAGTAATGATGTCACTCACATTCAAGCTCTTGTTACTCAAATGCATTAAGCATTTTCCATGAAAGAGCTAGGCGATATATCTTATTTCCTTGGTATTTCAATTGAAGCCTCTGGTTCTGCTTATATTCTTTCCAATAAAAAGTATGCTCAAGAAATTCTTAATAAAGTTGGCATGTTGGATTGCAAATCTTGCTCTTCTCCTATCTCTGTTAAACTTGGTCTGCCTCCTAATTCAGATGTGCTCTTTGACAATCCATCATTCTATCGAAGTATAGTTGGTGTCTTACAGTATTTGACAATCACAAGGCCTGACCTGTCTTATGCAGTTAACCAGCTCTGTCAGCATATGCATATCCCCACTATTGGTCATTTTGCTGGTGTCAAGAGATTACTAAGATTTGTTAAGGGCACTATCACTCATGGTCTTACTTATACACCCAGCTTATTTGATCTTCAAGCTTATTCAGATTCTAATTGGGCCAGAGATTCAGTTGACAAAAAATCCACATCAGGTTACTATGTCTTTTTAAGATCTAATCTTATTTCTTGGTCAGTTAAAAAGGAGGCCACTATGTCCAAATCCTCTACTGAAGCAGAGTATAGGTCTTTGGCTCATATTACTGTCGAACTTGCTTGGATTGGCATGTTGCCCAAGATTTTTGTATTGTTCCCCTTACAAACCCTTTTCTCTGGTGTGACAATGTGTCTGCAATAACTTTAGCTTCTAATCTAGTTTTCTATTCCAAATCTAAGCATATTGAAGTGGATTGCCATTATGTTCAAGATCAAGTATTTGCTAAAAAGCTTGTTTTGCACTCTATTCCCACCATTGATCAGTTGGTAAATATTTTTACCAAGCCATTGTTTGTGTCTAGATTTTCTTATCTCAAAGACAAGTTGATGGCTGTTCCTCCTTCCATCAGCTTGAGGGGGAATGTTGAGAACCACAGCTTAGATCGGCTCAGACTGCAACCTAAGATGCAGATCAAGCCCAACTCAACTGAGCTACAAACCATACCAATTCATAGCACATAGTTAGTTAGGAAGTTACAAGTTTGTTAGATAGTTTGTTATTAGTTTGTTATCTCTGTGTATAAATATTACAGATGTAATACTTGACAAATATGGAAAACAAAATTATTTGATTTCATATTTCCACATTGTTGTAGCACAAATGGTTTTGCAGTTTGAATATTAAGTCCCCGTTGGGGAATTAGTTATTTAAATTTATTTTTTGACTTTTTATAATAAAAAAAATACAAAAAAAAAATAGATAAAGTAATGTGACAACTTGTAGTAATTTTTTTATTATTTTGACTAAAAACCAACCTCCCAAATGGAACGTTTGGTCAGAAGCTTGTTTACAGTGGAAGGTCAAGAAGGGTACTAGAGTAAATATATATATTCATTTAACATTTTGCATGAGCCATGCATGGGATGTCTGTCTGTGTATGTGATGAGAGGACAAATGAATGACGGCGAGTAGGGAATGGAAGACAGACATATCGGTCATTGATTTTCTATTACCCAAATTTCCAAAATATATTTCTAATATATTTAAATTATGTGGGAATTTCGTGATGAATTACTTTATATATAGATAAATTTTTCATTTTTTATTTTTTTATCACTAGATGCAAAGGTAATAAGATTCAAATTAACAAAAAGCATGTGAGACTAATTTCTTTGCATTTACTGATAATAATTAAAAAAAATAAGAGAAAAAATTTGTTTATGCATAACATTTTTCTTTTGTAATATAAAAATTTCAAAGTTGTAATTCAATCATTGTGATGATTTTGAGCCAAAAATAAAAATAAATAAAATTAGGCTTTGTTTGGTAACCCTTCCATTTCCTATCTTTGTTTTTTCTTTACATGGTTTTTAAAAACTTAAAATGAAAACTTGTTTTTGTATTTTGTTTTCATTCTAAGCAAAGTAAAATTGTCTCCAAACTTTTTTTTAAATTTTATTTTCTCTTATTGTTAAAATTAATTTTCACTATTTCCTCCCTCACCAACACCTCTAACGACCACCCACTACCAACACTAGCCACCACCGGTTGTCAACCGGCCACTACCGATAACCTCTCCAATAAGCTCTAATTATAATCACCAACAACCTTTTAGCCATCACACTTTCCATCAGATTACCGCCAACCAACACCTACAACAACTTATCTAACATTTTTTTTAATTTTTATTTTAGGTTTTTATTTTCTACAAAAAAAAAATTAAAAAATTGTTTCGTACATTTTTATTAAAAAAAACAAAAAAACAAAAAACTAACAAGATTATCAAATCGAAGGAGACCTTAAAGATAGAGAATACTGTGCAGTCCATTCGAGATCGAGAGAGAGAGAGAGAGGAGAGTGCGTATCCCCCGTGAGAAGTGTTTGGAGGCATTTGACAGCTAATATTTTACTAATACTCCAAACCCAATACTCCCTCCCACCTCTACATTTTGACTCCTTCCTTCCTTCCTTTGCTCCTTTCAATGTTGCCCCCCCTCTCTCTCTCTCCCTCTCTCACACACACACACACACACACACACAAATATATGAGATAAGTAAGTACTATACCCCTCCCTTCACGAGAGGCAAGAGCTAGATTCCTCTCTCTCTCTCTCTCCACGTGCAATTCTATAGTCTAAAAATCTCTGCATCATGCCTTAGTCAATTACTCTTTGTCATGGCACGAACCATTATGTTGCTATTTTCTTCCCAATTTATGGGTAGGGGCTTCATTCTCATTCATCTCTTCTACTCTACCTATCTAAAAGTTTTGAATCAATTAAGCACAAAAAAGGTGTTAGGTAATCGATAGCAATGTTCACAGTTACTGTGATTTTTATTATAATCAAATACAACTCTATTTTCAATATAAGAAGCATCGCTCATCTATTTAGAAGAATAGAAATTATAGCAATGTAGAAGTAATAAAAAATTACCAAAATGTCCATAAAATTGGGTTAAGGGGTGTTCAGTACTTATCAAATTAACCTTCGATCACCAATAGATTTAAGACCCGATTTTCTATATTTATCAAGATTCACAATACTCAACAAAAAAATCACAAGTTAAAAACATTTCGACATCTTGACAGTGAGATTAAAAATTTTACGATCTTGATTATGGGTCCCTCAGTTTGCGGGCCCATTAGCAAGGATCTCAGTATGGGTTACGTGACATTTGTTGGATGGTGTGATGCATGGCTTGGATAATTTTTCTTGAGCATGATTGCATAAATATGAAATATAATTTTTCTTGAGCGTGATTGCATAAATATGAAGGGAAACACTATAGTACACACTTCTTCAAAGGGTGTATACTATATATATATATATATATATCTTTTAATTATATATATATCTTATAATTAAAAAAAATAACATACTTTCATACTTTTTTAGTCATAATTTAAAAAAAAATATATCATAACTAAATACAACATAAGATATAATTAAAAAAATTTATAAGTCATAACTAAAATAATGTCATAATTAAAGAAAAAAAATGACATAATTAAAGATACATATGATATACTATTTTTAAGAGTGTATATATTAGAATTTCCCAAATATGAAATATACTTTGTAATGTTATTGCCCAAAAAGAGGCAGTGTCAATGTGTCAACATAAAAGATTAGGGTCACACTCATAGAGATATATATTCATTCCCATAGTCACAGTACTCCTATTCGTACCTAATTATTTATGAAATGCTAATACATATAAAAACCATATTTAGGTTGATATAATATATTCACGTACAATTATGCTCACGCTAAGTCATAGTTTTCTATAACACTGTAGGGGAAAAAATTAGAATTTTTTTTCTAAACCCAATAGTTCAATAGATAATTAGGCTCTGTTTGGATTATAAATTTGTTAGAAATTTAGACTTGGAAATGGAAAAGATTAGTAAAATATGAATAAAATATAATTATATTTTACACACATTTTTCCTTTATTTTTTCAAATTTCCACTCAAATCTATAATCTAATTATGGCAATAAGAAACATCTCTAATTTGTAATGGAATGGGAGGTTAGAAATTCTTTTTTTTCTAGCAGTTGGTTTCTTGCCAACTAATTTTCTTTTTCACACTTTTTTAAGAAAAAAGACCATGTTCATCTTTGTGGCATACCTTTTAATTAAAAGAAAAAATAAGTTAAATTATATAGTGCGAGTTTTATATATAGTAATTTATTTGTTGACATCAAACATTCTCTTTTTAAGTTTAAAAGTGGAATTAGCCTAGTTGGTATTAATCTAACAAAAGCAAGGATGTCTATATGCAATTTAGGCACCAATCAATAGTAACCAATCATAGCACATTAGTATTTGTCTGTTTTCATAGGAGAGAGTTAATTAAATTCTTCACAAGAAAGACAACAATGTAATATCATTGACAACTGTATTGCAAATTGGCAAATAATAGAGACTAATAATCTCTTAGGACAACCACAAGCACTAGGAGAGATTCCAAGCCGATCATAAAACGCTCCTTGTATACAAGACAAGAAATCATTACCCTCAAAACTAGAGTGCGAGTTTAGGGGCTTGTCCCCGACTTAAATTTTGAAATAAAGGGATTTTTGATATTTTATAGTTCTATTATATATTGTCACAATATTTTATATTTATAGTTAAAGTGTTACATGTCTCTATATTGTATTATAATTCTTTTTAGATCATAACAAAACTGCAACTACCTTATGTTTATGTTTTGTGTCTCACAAACCCTAGTTCAATATATCAGATCCTAATACAATGATCAATGATCATTGGCTTCTAAATCTTCATGTCCCGCTATCGCAAAACATCCACAAGTATTGGATCATTGAAAATCTTGAAGTGCAATAATCGCGAGACATAATCTAATGAATGTAAATGTTTTGAAACAAAACGACAAAAAAATTTGAAAACAGAAGATCCCATACCGAAGGCAACAATTTGAATGGATCCACATGGTATCACTAATTATAAAAAGAAAATAAAATAACTTAAATATAAGTGACACTGTCGCTGATAAAGGCAAATATCAGTAACAACACAGTCTCCATATCTGTAACTTTGCATATACTTTGATTCCAATTTTTTTTTTTTTTTAAAAAAAAGAAGCATATATATATGGCAATTTCAGTTCTATTGTATTTTATTTATTTATTTTTTTTTTGGGATCAGCAAAGAAAATTAACTATATTGCTGAAAAGAAAATCATAACATCTATATAAGCAGAAAGAAAGATGAGTGCAAAAAGTATCATAACGAGCTAAATCAATCCTAACTAGGTCGGTACCAATAAGATCGTCCAATCATTTCTGAGTTAAGTATGCTTCATTCTGATCTTCAGAAAATCAAAGAAAAGAAACTTTAGACTCATCTAGGAATTAGGTGAACAAAGATTTTAAGTATTAACCACTACATATTATATTGGTCGATAAGTATCATTTTTAACCTTTTCAAATTAAAATCATATGCATATCAGCCAACTCACAATATGAATCGATTATAGTCGATTCACGACCCGATTCATAGCCAATATAGCTAATTCACAAATGATATGGCCGATTCAATTGCCACAAAACTCTTATTCGTGACTGATTTAAAAAAAAAAAAAAAAAATTTATAGCCACATCATCCAATTCTGTACACCAAGTACACTATGCTTAACATTGATTCATGTTCCAATACCACTATTTAAAACCTTAACATGATCTTAAACAAAAAATGGAAAATTGTATTCATCTTATAAAGGAAAAAAGTTATCTAGAGATATAGATAAAACTAGATGGGATTCATTCATATTAAAATTATAAATGAAACAACATTGTCTCCATGCCACAACGACAAACCATCATGTACCCACCTATTCACATGTGTGCCATTAATCATCACAACCAAACAATCCACCACACACACATATAACCTGCTCCAACCTTGTCTCCAACCCTAGTTCCAAATTCTCTCTTCATAGGGATTCTATCATTCTAGGGGGTCTATTGTTTTTCTTTATTTCTATTTATTACTC